TCTTGGTTGGGTTAATTTGCATATAGTCGCTCTGATTTGCTGGTGGGCATGGCTTAAGGCATAGCAAATGTATGGTCAATTTGCATGTTTGTCTTTTATTAATGTAGATCATTAAAAAAAAAATCTACCACTAGAAATGTAGATATAGAGCCAGGTGGTTTAAAGTGACTTATCAACCCTAAAAGAAACATGTTATTTATACCATTTAGAGCTTAGGAAAAGATGGAAAAATAGCTTCCCTATGAAATAAAATACTGAAATTAATTGCATTTAACTGTGGGAAATTTACTAGCTCAGTGATGGCGAACCTATGACATGCATGTCAGAGGTGACACGCGAACTCATTTTTTTGGTTGATTTTTCTTTGTTAAATGGCATTTAAATATATAAAATAAATATCAAAAATATAAGTCTTTGTTTTACTATGGTTGCAAATATCAAAAAATTTCTATATGTGACACGGCACCAGAGTTAAGTTAGGGTTTTGCAAAATGCTGACACGCCGAGCTCAAAAGGTTCGCCATCACGGTGCTGTCCTCTCCTCTGTTTTTACTCTTTTTACTTATGCTCTCCCCTCTGTCTGAAGTTATCTTACCTATAATAGACAAACATGAAAATTGACCGTACCTTCGCTACACCCAAGCCACGCCCACAAACCGATCCAGAGATATGCACATTAACCCAACAACGATGGTGGAGGCCAGAGTCAGGATACTTGCGTTGCAGCCACAGCTACCATACAAGCATCCTGGCTCTAGCTGCTCCAGGCCTATTGGAGATGCAGAAGTCAGGGGAGACAGAGAAGTCTGGCTCTAGCGCCTGAGGCTGGCTGCAGCCTGGGAGATGAAGAAGCTGCCTACCCCGTGATCCCAGGCCACAGCCGGCCAGAGAAGCGGCCTGCCCGTGGTCCCAGGCCGCAGCCGGCCGGAGAAGCGGCCTGCCCGTGGTCCCAGGCCACAGCCGGCCGGAGAAGCTGCCTGCCCCACATCCGCTCGCCCCATGTCCTCGGGAAGACTGAGAAGCCGGGCCCCAGCGCCTGAGGCTGGCTACAGCCTAGGAGACAAAGAAGCCGCCTGCCCCGATCCCAGGCTGCAGCCAGCCGGAGAAGCTGCCCACACTACATCACAGGGGACACAGAGAAGCCGCCCACCTGCGGTCCAAGCGCCAGCGCCTGCGGCTGGCTGCGGCCCAGGAGATGGACAAGCCATCCGCCCCAAGGTCCCAGGCTGTAGCCACCTGGAGAAGCTGCCAGCCCTGTGGTCCAGGGTGCCAGCGCCTGTGGCCCGGGAAATAGGTTCCCTCTTCTTCTACTGCAGTCATTACTTCAATATTCCCCTTCTGAATTTCTCTCCTGTGCCGAAACCCAACTCCACTTTTCATCGGAAGGATAAGGAACAGAGCAGTGTTAAAAGCTTACATTTTTAAGCCAGTAAGGTTGGTACTTAAACATATAAATGGAAAACTAGAGTTCTTAAGGTAACAAAGGCTACAAAGGGAGGGGGCAGGGACAGGGCATGACATATTATATCCAGCAATCCATATGGGGACAGAAAAGTTTGCAATGATGACAATTAGTTAAGATATGAATCAACTAACATAGTTGACAGGGACAATTCTTCCATCTTTGAAAATGTCTACATCAAATCTGTTTAAATAGATTTTCATCTGCATAATCTAACACATTCTGACAAGACCACCACCACCAATGTGGTCAGTGTTGTGCCGATACATGTTTAACAACTGGCTCTCAATCAAAGAAAACAAAACTCTGATTTATACTGTCGGCCAATTTCTGTGGCACAAATTCTCCATCCAAGGCTGATTTCAGCTGCTAATGTGATGCCACTAAATGCAGAGCTGAGGAGAAACATGCAGTAATACACTATTATATTCTACCAGAAAGACCCAAAAGATATAAATAATGTCAAGAGTCAGAACAGTAAAGTGTAGTAAATAATTGAGGAGTGATGAATTTAGAGTATGTGTTTCCTTTGGTTGTAATGTAATTTATTCACTTTTAAGATTATATAATTTCATTTTTAATAATGAACATGTTTAACGACCAGCTTACAAAATTCCTGAAAATTTGTGAGCCAGTAAG